TGAGATCGTCATTTAACATTTCTTTTTTGTCGTTAATATCATTAACATCGTTAGTTCCGTTTCTCCGATTTGTTTCCACAAAGTGAATTGCTAGTCCAGTACCACTGCCTCGTCCACACCGACCAAACAGTTGAGCAAGTTCTGGAAGGCCCATACGACCCATGACTATGACTTCCATGACTGTAGGCCAATCTTGACCCAGACCAAGGGCATTGGTACAAGAAACAAGTGGAAAGACGTCCTTGGTATACCCTTCAATTGTCCGAAGCTTCTCTTTCCGGCCAGTACATGAGTGATACCTGCGAATCAAGGTACTATCAGGATCACACTCGCCTTTGGGAGTTCCTCTAGCTACATTGACCGCTTCCATAACTGCTCCTGTGGCATTCCTTGAACCAGAGTAGATCAATGACTTCACCAGTAGATTATCGGGTACAACATCTTTCCTAGAATAAAGGTCTAGTAACGCATTGGTCAACGCGGTTCCTGAAGGTACTTTGATGCGGATGATGCGAATGTTAGACCGACTGAGTTCCCCACGCACTATCTTGAGATTACGTTCTTGGATACTCAAGCTTGATAGGATTGCAGAAAAGGGTCCTGGGGCACACGTCGCGGACATCATCAGCAGTGGAATATTATTTGTGGCCAGGAACCGAAGACAGAGATTGCCGTAAGATGGTCGAAATTGACCACCGTCCTGTTGACGCATGAAAGCATTGCACTGGCTTGCTTTTCCACTCTGGACCAGACCCCACCAATAAATCATGTGCGCCTCATCAATCACCTTCAGAACTAGGTGGTTCTGAAGCCACTTGCTGAAATATAAACGTTCAAAGAGCTTGCTATTTAAAAAAATCTCGGGACTCTGTGAAGTACTATAATCAGCTGTCATTGTTGATGTATGATTTTTAAATAATTCTACTCACAACATAGAGTACACTATAAAACCCAGCCGTGATCTTCAGAACCACCGCTTCTGTAAAGTTCTCCTTTGTGAGATTCACGGCCTTGATTGACCATCTCTTTTTCTCAGAGACCTACATGAAGAACATACTTCAACATCCTTGACCCACAAAATATTGGTATTCAACACACCTGATTGTCACCCAAGGCATCTAAGGGGTTTATTACAATTGATATAGGGTAATTTTTTTTGGGAAACAGATCCAGGAACAACTCAGCGATTCGAGTCTTTCCATAGCCTGTACCGGCCAAGACAAATGTGTCAAGACCTCTGACCAAAGCCACCACTGCTTTGACTTGTACGTCTTTGACTATTGTTTTGTATTTCTTGAAATGATTATCCTCGATTAGTTTATACAACTGGGGGTCCGTCAGACCTAGGATCTCGGGTGAAAGAGTCACTTTAGCTTCGATTTGTTTTGTGACATCGATTGTAGGCAGAGTCGCGAGGTTTGCTGATGAACAAAGCATGTGCTTTTTAGCTAGATTATCATTGATGATGTCTGCGCTACGAAGTTTCCTTTTTTGCGGAATATCAGAAGTGAGCGCTTCGGTCATCGCAGTGAAGATTGGAAAAGTGCAATGAGAAGGAGAGCGTTCAGGATGACGATGATCTATTTGTTCAATTTGCTTGCGTTGGAAGTCAAAGAATCTCAACGGTGCAATTTGTTCCTCTCTCTCGTTCTCGATTTCTCTCTCTCTCTTCGTCGATTTTTCTCTCCATGGGGAAAGAGAGAAAGAGTCTCTGATGGACAAAAGGTTTTTGTCCATCAGATTTTCACCGCAGTTGTGAGATTGGCCATCTGATGAGTTACATAGGTTTGCTCAACCACAAGGACACTCATCCATATCAACAAGACTCTATCACCAGGTAAGGTTATGTACAAGATCAAGGAGATCAGTTTGGTCTACTCAGATCTCATGATCGATTAGGATAGGTACAAGGTATTGTCAATGTAATCCAAAAAAGGTGAAATATGCGAATTTTGTCATTGGCATCAGACCAACGAATGCCGTTAAGGCGTAAGTCCCTCCTCCGCAAGCTCCGAAGGACGCGCGCGGAGGAGGGTACTTAGTTAAGTTAGGAAGGAAGCGCAGCACATGTCAAAATATTAGTGCCCTGCTGTACGCGTAATGTGTGTACAGTCGCCTCTGCTAAAACCGATAGCCGTCAAAAGCGATACTCCTTGAAAACCGATACATTTTGGCCAAAGATTTTTTTTATTTGCAGTGAGATTTCCCCTGACAAAACCGATACTCGGCAAAAACCGATAGTTTTTGACCCAAATTTTTGGGTATCGGTTTTAACAGAGTCGACTGTAAGTGATGCTATGATGACACCGATCAATGAAGAATCATCTATAAGCATAGTATGGGATGTGGATATGTTTATATCGCGGTGGTGGATGATCAAATGTGACTTATTTTGATCGGGTTCTTGGCATGAACAAAGCTAAACAAAGCTACTTAAGGTTCTGTACACCGCATTTTAGTACATAAGCTTAAACTCAAACACTCAATTTGACTCTCACTTAACGGTCTGTACACTTCTGTTTACCTTTCAGACTTTAAATCCAACTCATCCATCATCCACTTGCGATCGATCATAACACTTTAATCAGCTTTCATCCACTTCTTCTACAATTTCACTTTAGTACTTATCATCAAAATGGAAGGTATGTCTTTCCTCTTTCTCACTTTCACTTCTTCCATTGCTTTTTTTCTTTTCTTCCTTTGATCGTCAAGTCTTCAAACCGCCTCATCATCTCGGAGGGAGATGCATCCCAGAGCTTCTTGGGTATGAAGGTCATGCGTGAAACCATGCTACCTCGCCAGATATCCTACCGATGGTAACCTCACAAATCGTTCCTTTGCATCTGTCGAAGCGATGCGATGTGTGCATGGCATCTCTCTTTGCCTGCTGGAGTTTCCCACCACTTCCGCTTGATCCTATCTCTTAACTTGACCATAACCCATCTGTTTCACTCTTGTGACCGGTCAACTCAGCTAACATCCTATCCCTTTCACAGATGAGGTAGCAGCCTTGGTCATTGACAATGGTTCGGGTATGTGCAAAGCCGGCTTGTAAGTCTCTTCGATCGCTTTCCTGGAAGTCTCACAGGTACTAATCTTTTTCTAACCCCAGCGCCGGAGATGATGCTCCCCGTGCTGTTTTCCCATCCATTGTCGGACGTCCCCGTCATCAAGGTGTGATGGTCGGTATGGGTCAAAAAGTATGTCATCTGGCTTTTGTTTATTTATAAAAAGCGTTGACTGATAAACGCATACTTTCATTCAATCAAGGACTCCTACGTGGGAGACGAGGCTCAATCCAAAAGAGGTATCTTGACCCTCAAATATCCCATTGAACACGGGATTGTCACCAACTGGGATGACATGGAGAAAATCTGGCATCACACTTTCTACAATGAGCTACGTGTTGCTCCCGAAGAACATCCCGTCTTGTTGACTGAGGCACCTCTTAATCCAAAAGTCAACCGAGAAAAGAGTAAGCAAAAAGTCAAATTGTACATCACATGCAAAAGAGTCCGCCTTGCTAATGACATCATTTGAATTTGTTAATCTCACAGTGACGCAAATCATGTTCGAAACCTTCAACGCACCCGCTTTCTACGTTGCCATCCAAGCCGTACTTTCCTTGTATGCATCTGGTCGTACCACCGGTATTGTCTTGGATTCTGGTGACGGTGTCACGCACACTGTACCCATCTACGAGGGTTACGCGCTTCCCCATGCCATCTTGAGATTGGATCTTGCCGGTCGAGATTTGACCGACTACTTGATCAAGATCTTGATGGAGCGTGGTTACAGTTTCACGACGACTGCCGAAAGAGAAATCGTTCGGGATATCAAGGAGAAGCTTTGCTATGTTGCTCTCGATTTCGAACAGGAAATGCAAACCGCCAGTCAATCCTCCGCGCTCGAGAAGAGCTACGAACTGCCTGATGGACAGGTCATCACCATTGGAAATGAACGGTATGATGATTTGGCTCTAGCTTTGACCGATCATTGGCCGTTCAACTTATGGTATTCAATATATCTCCAGATTCCGAGCTCCCGAGGCCCTCTTCCAACCCTCGCTTTTGGGTCTAGAAGCCTCTGGTATCCACGAGACCACCTACAACTCGATCATGAAGTGTGACTTGGATATTCGAAAGGACTTGTACGGTAACGTCGTCATGTCTGGTGGTACCACCATGTACTCCGGCATTTCTGACAGGATGCAAAAGGAGATCACCGCCCTTGCTCCCAGCAGCATGAAGGTGAAGATCGTTGCTCCACCAGAGAGAAAATAGTAAGTTCCATGGTTCCTGAAGTCATCCGGCTTGAAAGATGCTCATGCCTTTGATTTCTCTGCGTTCAGCTCCGTCTGGATCGGTGGTTCCATCTTGGCTTCCCTCTCTACCTTCCAGCAGATGTGGATCTCTAAACAAGAGTACGATGAGGTTAGTTCATTACAGTTCCGCTCAATCCTTGCCCGTATACTAATGAGATTTCCATGCATGTAGAGCGGACCGTCCATCGTGCATCGTAAATGTTTCTAAGGTCTCGGTTCGATTAGAGGCGTTTGTGAAGTGCTTTTGTAGCTTCCCAATTTATGACTGCTTTTGCCATGTAAAGTTTGAGAACTGTAGAGCAGAAACGTTCACGACATCCATTCTAGCTTTTCTCCCATCAGTAGTTCTTTTTTTTGTCCCTTTTGAATGACCTCCACGTGAAATATATTACTTCCTATGCTTTCTTTGTCCCACACAGTCTGATCTTTCATTTGATACGTTGAAGATGAGAAGAAACAAAAGTATAGATTTTTTTGCTATGGTAGATAGTTACCGCCATCGAAGAGTGCAGCGGTTTTGACGTTACGCAGCTGTGCATCACAATAAATCTGAATGGAATCAAAAACCCACTGCTTTCCAGCCGTCCATTACGATAGGATCAAGAAGGCGATTTTGACATTGGAACCGAGAGATGAGGAAGGGGTGGATAACAGCGAGCATAGCAAAAGAGTTGCCCGACAGAAGTGAGATTTGAACTCACGCTCACAGAGTGAAGTAGCTGCTCTAGTATGTCCACCCCACAAGAAGAGCAGAACATTCGAAACTACCGCCTTAACCACTCGGCCATCCTGTCTAGCGAGTCGTGGATTCTATGGCGTTTTGAATGCAAATCATGGATTAATTGATCCTGAGCATTCACTCTTGGCGAGGGAATAAGAAATGTATTTATAATTGATTCTGTGGAACATTTAAATTTCTTAAAAAAGAAATGTGATGTGTGTATGTATCTTAAAGGTTCTGAAGAGTATTACTCAAGTTAACCTTATCCCTATTCCATCTCAATCGTATCTTTACTTTCATCTTGATTTTCTCCATTCAAGAATTCAAGTTAAGAAGAGTTTGTGATATGGAAAAAATGTGAATGGTGGAGTTTTATGAAGTATGAGAGAATCATAAGATTTGGATTAGATCATTGCCTAATTCAGCTGTATCGCACCACTCACCAGATGAATTCTTTAGATTACATGATTTTCATGATATTCTGATTGTATGATCTCAATAAGATCTTGTACATGTCCCTATAGACATCTAGCATATTGGCTTGGGCTCATTCCTTTGAAGTGTTTAAAAATGATGAAATCTTTATTGAATTGATAGTTGCTTTATGAACTGAGATGACATATAACTCTTAGTTGGATCTTTGTTATGGATTCATGTGACGCTCTCATCGATGATTGATAAAGTAGGTTACATTGACAAGTTCTTGCTTTATTGATTACATCAGATGAGACATGAAAAGAACATTAGATTAGTTACAAATCTAGATACAACTGATTAAACTAAAGCTCCAGAATTGAAAATGCTATAAGCTCCCTTGAAATGAAGATGTCAGAGGTGATGATCGAGATGTGGAACGAGAGCCTTTCCAAGACCATCGAATCGGTTTGATTAGGATGTCTTTTAACTCCCCATTCCATCAACGCCTCAAGAGGTAGACCCTGGAGTAAAAAGGTAAGTCGCAAACAACAATAATACATATTATTATCCTACAAAGTCCTGAGTGGCCAATATGATTCTGTCCATGACAATAGCCCCATGGATTCAAATGATTTTCAATCAGAAGGATTGTTCGTACCGGTGGGTGTGTCTTGAGCAATAGGAGGAGCGTTGTTATCTGTTGATTGTGCCGCGCCAAATTGGGCGCTGAGCTCTGGAAAGTGCTGGGCCAGTTGTGTTTCCAGCAAGGTGTTGTATGCCTATAATTCAATGGATGGTTCAAGGAGATGTAGGTTTCTCATGCTATATGTAGATATGAAGGACGTACATTGAGATTTGATAGAATACCATTAGTGTACATGTTCTCATGCGCGGCTCTCTCCACAAAAGACTTAAGCCATCGATCCGGATTCGTTCCCTGATCGATATGTCTATAAGGTAGAAGATTGCGAGAAAATCCAAATCAGCGCTCAGTATAAGTTAAGTTGATTGATGCCAAGTTTATAGAAAAGCTCGTCAGGCGTACTGTATGACTTCCATCGGGATTGGGATCTCGGGTGTTAAAGACGTGTTGATATCGTATAGTTCGGCCATAATGTTGATAGATTCATTTCTAAGTGTCCAACGCAAAGAAACAATCCTCTTAATTTGAAAACTTTTATCGTGCGATTCGATAAAAAAAAATCCCCTACATCTTCTTTCCAACCAATCCTCCGGAACCAAATGGCTCTCCCCTACCTGCCCCACCTCCTTCTCGAGCATTTTCTTGAACGTCACTCGTACCTTCAAGACAAGATTCAAAAGGAAGTGTGAGATTCATAGACCTGTAGTAAATTGAATGTTGAAAAAACCAACTCACATATTCCCACTTCTAGTAGCGTCTGTAGTAGTTGTTCAAGTTTGTCTTCTAATTGAGACCTTTGTTGTTCTTCTGGTGAGATCTTATCGGTCGTAGATCCTACGGTATCTCCATGAAAGCCAGGTGTAGAATGGTTGCCATTTGTTGATGAGATGTTTGAAGGTATCATTTTGGTGGTTCGAACTTCGAAGTCAATTTCTATGGCGTCGGGGTGAAATTAACACAGCAGTTGATGGGTTTGACATGAGCCCCGCCGGAGCTTGCCCGACGACTCGGGCCAGTTCAAACTCGAGGCTTATTGAGAGCTCAAAGAAATGTGAATTGCTGAACTCGGTGCATCAGCAACAGTCCCTGGCGGCTGGCCTAACAAGGCAAGATTATACAGTCACAATTTAGATTTTTAAAAGTACAAAAAGAAATTATTGTAGCTCCTTTGCCTGTTCCTCTTACCATGTTAGATCTTCATACAATTAGTTCTAATGATGACCCAAAGGATTCATACTAAGAACTTCAACCACTCAAACAAATTCCCCTGTAATACTGAACAATCAACTTACATTCCTCATGAGCATCCTGCTGTAGGGCTCTGTAAAGGCTTTTTTTGACCACTTGTTTGGCATCTTAACTTGAGATTGAATTTGAGGCACAGAATGAGGACCACCAAGAATGCAGTTGAGTGCTTGATTGAGGTCATATTTAGGGTATCAAGCATACAATGAATTGTGGCATTTAGCAAAACATCTTGTCCTCACAGGACCTACTCAAAAAATACTGACTCTGCCCGGGCTCGAACCGAGGACAACATGCGTTCACAAATGTTAAGCAGGCGCTCTACCAACTGAGCTACAGTGCCGATGACGCATCCTCGTGTTTTCAACATATGATGTTTCAAAGGAAACATCCTCACTACATACTTTAAAACATTATGGAATTATTTGTGGTTAGACTATGTTACCAACAGTTGATTGTCTGGTCCCACACAGATATCTATCTTACTTTTACTTTTCATCTTCTCAAATGATTCTAGATATTCTAATTTAGCATGCGGGCCTCCTGGAGAAGAAGAGTACTTGTTGCTCAATGGCCTTTTGGTGGTAGAAAAACAATCACAATCAATATCTATTTACACCACTCAAGATCTGTGATTGAAGAAAATCAAGGACACAGTCACTGCAACTTTGCTGAATTTGACACTTATATTGCCCACGGTGTAAGGGAGCAGACCTGAGATTGTAGGACTCTCTGGCTCTTATTGAAAGGCATTTGACCATTGTGTATCAGGATAATGAAATTGTACTGCAGGGTCCATTGTTTAGACTCTGTTTGATTGGACTGTAGTACTTCACATGGATTGAGTTGCAAGAAAATACCTCCACTTTGAAACACAAAGTCTTGTCTATGATTCTGTATATATTATTATACATCTGATTTATCCATGACTCCAATGGGCTCATCACATCTTACATTCTATCAAGATGCTTTAGATTTTTGTTGGGAAAGATTGTCACAGCCTCTGTGCTGGAATTCAAGTCTCTGGTGCTCAAACACCATGTGACTCGCTTTCAAGTGTCCTTAACACATGTCCCATAAATCTTGCAGGGTGCTTTTGACCTTGCAAGCTTGGTACCCTGGAGAGGGACTTGTGTATTATTGGTTGGTTTTGGTGTAACAACAGGGACCTGAGAAGATCCACTTGGGTAAATTTCCTATACAGCCTCTTAACTTCTGAAGTTGAGACAGTATTCTATTTCTGAGTTGAGCAAAGTGTTCAAATTCTTGAAATGAACAACTTCACTTTTTGAATAAAGCTCAACTCTTGCTCTTGCAAGAGGTTGAGGAGAGTATTTTGGGGCAAATGAAATTCAACAATTGATTAAACCAGCTTAAAATGTTTTTGCTGGATTTAATCTGATTCAAAAACATTGGTCAAGAGGACATTGGGGTCAAGTGAGATAAATTTTATCTTTCCAAAACCCCTGACCAGCCTTGGTCCTTAGAAGGGTATCTTGAATTGCATGTAGTAATTGTCTAGTGGACTGCATCCCTGTACCCAAGAAGGACCAAGTGCATAGAGATTTCAAAATCTCTTTATCTTTTGATAAAAGCCATGCTACAAATGGGTGAGGGGTTTTGCACAACAAATCAAAACAATTTGGTTTGATTTCAAAAGCAAAGGGGTTATTGCCCATACATAAATTTTCAAATCTCAAAACCTTCATTTATTTCCTGAGAAAGCTGAGAGTGGGATACAAGAGTGTGAATAGACAGAAATGACAAGACCGGGTACAAGTAGCCCCAGTTGAAATGGGCGAGGGGCTTGATTGAGACAAAGTGGTTGTATTTGCAGTTTCAAAAACCTCTCAGTGGTTAGATTGGGCTTTTGTATCTCTGCTGCAAATTCTCATAACCAGCCCAAGAAATTTGACTTGACACTTAACAACCCCTCCAAATATGCTTGTGGTCTGCCTGACGTCCAACCCAGAGGTCTAGCACCAGGTCAGGCCTGCGGAGCACATGCTTCCTGTCCGCCCACATTCATGGGACTATACCAAGCTTCATATATGGAAAAGGGTCAAGATCACAGATGATAAGTGGTTTTTTTTGCTGGAAATGAGTTGAAAGGATTGGTATTCTCCTAGATGATGATTCAGCAAAATCTGCTTATGAAATCAAATATGATGATTAATTTTAGCTCATTTTTTTGCAGGGTGGGATTCAGGATGATGAGAAACTCTGTAAGAAAACATGATTGGTTTTCATATCACTGACTTTAATGTGTAGTTCTTGTTGATATTATCTTGTTCTATTATATCTTAATCTACCATTGGCATAAGTTTCTTGAGAATGGAAATTGTTCAAACTTGTAACTTCCTTTGAGGAGCAAATAGGTCATTCTGAGTATACACAAAGTGACATATCCTAATGCTTCCCTCCCTTAAATCTCTCTTGAACTTATGGGTGAAAGAAGTACAAGAGAAATTGTACTACTTTTGCAAAAAGTATCATACAATAAAAGTTGTATATACCTTATGATCATTGGATTCTTTGAAGTAGAAAAGGTCCTGTTTCATGTAAAAAAGCCAAAGGAAAAGATAGCACACATTTGGCGTGGTTGCGACACTATGTATGGGTTGCTGGAGGTATGTTTTTGGGGGTCCAAGCCCCGTGCGCAGCCAGGACATCCGTCTACTGGTCTATGCGTATATCCAGGCATGTCTATAGTGTGATATGTACCACCCCCTTTGGCAATGTACATGTGACATGTGGGACCCACCAAA